CCAATTATCATATTGACTTTTAATACAAGAGGGGTATTGACTTGTAGTTCAGTAAAGGCATTTATAAAGCAATTCAGATTCAGTTTTCTTACCACATCTGTGCTTTCAGGAATTCATTCCTGAAAATCAGACATTTTACACACAAACACCACTGGGATTTAATTTTCCATCATTTTAAATGGGAAAAAAATTCAGTGTATCATACGCAACCCAAACCTCTCAACCAAATTTTACTGAAACATAAGTAAAACACAGTCAACTGCCTGTTTAAATTTAAGTTACAAATGATTGTATTAGGATGTAAAAATGCTCACAACATTATATGATAAATCAGGTTGTTAATAGTTGGGCACAGTGACAAGGCTTCTATTAGGGCCACTCCATCTGAGACACACCTCCTTTTTGTTGTCTCCTGGTTTGCTTTTTAAAATTTTGTATAGGATTCTGATGATCTACCAATTATATTTAAAAAAAAACAACTGGAGACTTCTCATTTATCCTTTTGTTAATAATGTCATGATGAATTTTTGTGATTAATTTTTAATTAAATTTTTTCCTTTATGAATACTGACTGAAATATATTGAAAGATATGAATGCTTTATGAAATTTGGGTATTTTTATTCTAAGAGGCATTCTACCAGAATAACGTTAGGCAACAAGACATTGTATATTTTAAAAGTCCAAGTTGGATAAGCAGGGATGAGAATTGAATTGATAAGAATTTTTTTTTGGCAGCAAGTAACATAATGTTCTCCCTCATTTAAGTAGGTATTCATGGCAAGAAGTGGAGTGGTGGATGGTCATAGCAACTTATTGTGATCAAGGGCTATGGCTATTCCCACCTGCTTTATGCTTTTCTACACTCATGGTGTTGGTGATAGCTCCCCTCAGCGTCACAAGATGTCCACAGCAGCCCAGAGCTGCTGTGTTCTATCAACAGAACACAAAATTAGGAAGGGAAGCCAGTGAGAAGACTCATCCTATTAAGTTTCTCTTACATCAGGAGCAAAATCTTTCTCACTAGTCTTCAAGCAGAATTCTTCTATCATCTTATTAGCAGAAATGGGTTATGTGGCCATCCACAGCTAAAAAGAAGGCTGAGGAAGTGGTTATCTTGCCTTTGCAGCCTCTATCATGCAAGGAAGATAGGGGAGAGGAAGGCCCAGTGGGAAGGTCAATAGAATCCAAATTCTATCATTAATGAGCTGTGTGTCCTTGGGCAGGTCTCTTACCCTCCATAAATTGACAGAGTTTTCTGACAGAGTACTTTTGCTTGAATTTGAAGATGTTACTTATAAAGGTTTGTCTTAATTGGAAAAGAGAATCTCTTTGGAGATTCTCAAGGTACCTTGGCATATAAAAATCTCTAACAAGTTCTGCACTAAAGACAACAGTTTAACTGTCCAACCCAGCATTTCCAGAACATATTTGAGCATAGAACCTTTTCTTATAAATCAGACAGTTGTTAATATGCAACCAGTATTCTGTGGGGCTTTTCAGCAAACACTGCCCTGCTAGACTGAAGTTTCTTGAAGATAGGATCTTCATCTTTAAATTTCCCAGAGTACTTAGTAGACTATCCAGACAACTGCCATTCATCCTTCATAGCTTCAGTCTCACCTCCTCAGGGAAGATGTCTCATCCATCAAACTAGGTTGGAAGATACATATATATAATATTTTATCTATATATATTTCCTAATCTATTTTGGTATGTGTCCTATATGAATATATCCTGTCCTCCTCCTTTATACCTCCTAGTTGCAATAAATTATCAGGTATGATTATATATGATCAACCTTACCAAAGAGCCTGTAAGCTCCCTGAGAACAGGGGTAGTTTCTTGTTCACTGCTTTGTCTCCAGTGCCTACCACAGTGGCTAGCACATAGCAGACGCTTAGTACTTATGTTTGGATGAATGAATGCTTCCCACATGGTGGACCATAGAAGTCTTTGGTAATAGAAACCGTGCGTTTTGTTTCCGAGCACTAATCCCCCAACCTTTTCTTCTAGGATTGCTCCCGCCCCCCTATTCTATTCACATAGTAGTTCCTGCTGACAGCTGGTCCAGGAGTGGGTGCCTAAGCCAGTAAGCCTCCTCCTGGGGCTTTTAGACTTTGGGATGGAAGAAGGGCCAGATTTCTTCCTTCTGGTGGTTAAACACAGAAGAGGTGAAGGTCAGGAACTGTTAGCAACCATATTTCCTTCTCTTTGAACCTGAGAATTATAGAAAACTGATATGCAATAAGAGAGAGAGAGAGAGAGAGAGAGAGAGAAAATCATAGACAACCAACCAGAGAAGGGAGATGAAAAGTGTGGCGACCAAGGCTGAGCTTCTGGGTTTTTTTCCTGGGTCCCAGGCACATTCCTGTTCCTGGGCTTCATGAGAATCTCTTTAATCCTTACACTAACTTTCTCTTCCTTGTTTAAGTTCGTTTGAGTTGATTTTCTGCTTCTTGTGAATCCTAAATATTAATAGTATAATTTGCTAATTGAATTATTAATAATTATTGTACATGGGTCAGGTGTAAAAAGAAAGGGGATATAGGGCTTCTGGGTTCATGAGTGTATATAAAACAGTGAGCAGAGGGACTGAGTTGAATTCAGACTTGGTGAACTAGGACACAAGCAGAGCATGCTCAGTTTCAGAAGGAAATATTCAATCTATTTATGCACACAGTGGTTTCAAGGATCAAATGAGTTAAAAGGTGTAAAGGTGCTTTAAAAGTGACATAGAAGGATTCTTTTCAATAAAACCAAAATTTGCATTCTGGTGGTAGAGGGTGGCAAAAAGACAGCGGAAACCCCCAGCACAAGCGTCTCCGTGATACCTGATGGCCGGCGTTCTGCAGCCGTCACCGTCCCGCTAATGCCCAGACCTCTCCCGCTTCCCTGCGAAGAGCCCGCAGCCCCACGCTGCCACAGCACCTGGCTCGTCTGCTCCCTGCAGGTGTGTTCACAGCCATTCTGCTTTTTGTCACTCGTCTGCCCTGCCTGGAGACACCCTCAGACTCTGTGAAGGACACCGTCAGGGCCACCGTCGGCTGACTCTGGTGACTGAATAATGCATGAAACCAGCAGTGGGCAAGGGGGAGCCTCCCCAGGTGGGTGGTGGGTTGAGGACAGGGTTTGGTCTCCATCTGTGGGGATCTGACTTTCTCATCCATGGGATTTTTCAGACTGATGGATCAGTCCATGTGGATGAAGTACCCTTAGTAGGTTTCCTGAAGTGTTTCTTAGCTGTACTGGTGACAAATTAGACAGCAGCACTTAACAGCTTACAATGCTCATGTCTCATTCATCTCATTTGGACGTCACAATAGCTCTGGGGAGTAGAGGGGTCAAGGGTTGTTATCTATTATCTATTGACAAGGAAACTGAGACCACCACCCCACCCCACCCCCGCAAGAAAACACGGTTTGCCAAGTGAAGACCAATCTTCTAGGGTGACTTTAAAAGATACTCCTAGGTTAACTGAATTCACAAGATCTTTCTGTTCTTTAAGCGAACTGGAATGTTTCTCCTGCTCTGCCTTTCCTATTTGAAATTAGAAAAAATTGTGGTGAAATATACATAACATATAAGTTATTATTTTAACCATTTTGGTGTATAATTCGTGACATTAAGTACATTCAATGTTGTATTAATACAAAGATCACCTCTATCTAGTTCAGAAGCTTTTTGGTCATTGCTCACTGAAACTCTGTACATTAATCAACAACTCCCCATTCCCTGCTCTCTCTGGCCCCTGGCAGCCACCAGTTTGCCTCCTATCTCTGTGAATTTGCTTATTCTAGGTACTTGATATAAAAGAAATCATGCAATATTTGCCCTTTCGTATCTGGTTTTCTTCATTTATCATAATGTCTTCAAGGTTTATCCAAGTTGGAGCAGGTGTTAGGATTTCCATCCTTTTTAAGGCTGAGTAATATTCCATTGTATGTATATACAACATTTTATTTATCCATCCATCTATTGTTGGACCCTTGATTGCTTTCACCTTTTGGCTATTGTAAATATGGTGTTGGGAGCATTGTTGTGCAAGTATATGTTAGAGTCCCTGCGTTCACTTCTTTTGGGTATAAACCCAGGAGTGGAATTGCTGGATCATGTGGGAATTCTGCGTTTAACTTTCCAAGGAGCCACCATGCTGTTTTCAACAACGGTGCATCACTTTGCAGTCCCACCATTCTTTCTGTTTTTCAGTCGAAATTCATCCTCTGCCACAGCTCTCCAGCATCTTCCATTCATCTCCACTCCCCAAACAGCCACCCTGTATACAAAGTGGTTGTGCCTGTCCCACTTATTAGAGAAAAAAAAAAAAAAAAGTAGCATTAATAGTTAAAAGTGTGGTATTACAGCGGGGTCTGGCAGTAGGTGATTGATGGCCTCCATTACACCCCATTAGATATTTTATTCTTGTTAAATGAAGAGCAGCCAACTTTGTCAAGTATTTTTAGTTCCCTCTGGTCTTATTGGTCCAATCTATTCTTCAGGACGGCCTGTAAATGGCCACATATGGCTGAGTGTCTGCAGGACGGATGGCCGGGCAGCTGGCGTTCATTGGCCACCAATTTACCCCGGCCCCCTTCATTGTGAGGCTGACAGCACCGGGGAGCCTTGTAGATCTAACCAAATATATCTATTTTCTAATTGTCTATTTATCACCTTCTGGGGATTTGTGGGCCTCCTCTCTGAAGGGAGAGGGAGGATGGCCTTGAACAATGATGCTTGTCAAGGCTCTCGCTCGCTCTAAATTAGGGCCTAGTTGCTAAATAACTAATTTAGTCCTGCTATCAAGCTGAAAAAGTGGGTATTCAGCGCAAAGTGCCAGCTGGGGAATTGATTATGTCTTCTCTCAGCGAGTGTGATAAACCTGCGGCCTAGCCACTGCGGAAGGCTGGAGACGGCTCCCCGGGGGCGGCGGCGGAGGGAGCAGGGCCAGGCCCGGCCGGGCCGCCGGAGTCTGGGGCGCCGGCTCTGTCCCGCCGTGGCGCCCATGGGGAGTCTGGCTCTCTCCTCGTCCTCCTGGTCAAGGCTTCTGCTTGGAGCCATAGGGACCTTTGCATCTGTGAGCAAGGTGGGAACTGGGGAGGGGTTGGAAGGGCATCCTGACAGCCCCAATGTCCAATTAGAGTGAGATTATTGAAGGTAGTGCAGGCCTGCGGTGGGGGAGGTGGGGGGGATGAATAGGAAGAGGAGGTTCTTAGGAAAATATATTAATAACAACTACCGGATTTTGAACAGAGAAGGATGCCAGGTAGCTGAGAATAGAGAATTATGGTTTACTGTTTGGGAAATCCAACAACAAAAACAACACCAGCAACCAATTACTCAGCCCTCCCCTGTGCCAGGAGGCTGCAAATCCATGATCTCTGAATCTTCTCAACATCCAGGCAGATTAGGGTTCCTACCCCGATTGGTTCTTGGAGAAAAAGAATTTCAGAAATGTTACCAAATCAACTTGTCACAGGCTGACCTGTGCCCATAAATATCTTCCCCACCCCAAATTTTGATAATGCCTGGAATGTTCCCATTGCTCATTCAGCGGGTCTTTATTGAGTACCCTTGTCTTCTGCATGCCAGGAGTCGGTGTGGGGATTCAGTCAGACCAGGCCCTGCCTTCATGCAGCTGATTTTCTAGTCGGGGAGACAGACCACACCAGTGGTTCTCAACACAATCAGACCTAAAGACTTCTTTGGAACTCAAATCCCTTGAATGACTCCTTTATCATCCTGAAATTAAATTCACAGATAACACATTCTACTTATTCACATAATTTTAAAAATCAATATAGCACTTCACTGTAATGTAATAGAGAAATAAAAGGAAAGGAATTTTAATCAAACTAAAGTGAAAGTGAAAGTGTTAGTCACTCAGTTGTATCCGACTCTTTGCAACCCCATGGACTGTAGCCCACCAGGCTCCTCTGTCCATGGGATTCTCCAGGCAAGAATACTGGAATGGATTGCCATTTCCTTCTCCAGGGAATCTTCCTGACCCAGGGATCAAACCCAGGTCTCCCTGGGTGCAGGCAGATTCTTTACCATCTGAGCCACTAGGGAACAAAACTAATATGTATTTCAATATGTAAATGTTTGATCATAAGGACATTCCAGAAAGCACCATGAAGCTCACTTACTTTTAATGAATGTTTGAATTTAAGAATAAAAAAAAGAGATAATGTCTAACTGAGTGTTGACATCTTCTCTTTGACAATTTGAAATAAGGACTAAAAAAAGATACTGGTAAATATACTTAGAATTGCTTTGAATGTGACAGCTACAAATGCAGACTGATACAGGTATAGTAGCTGTGACTCAAATATCATGAATGCCACTGATGACATGATTTTCTGAACTAAGGAAACTCCAAGCTGAAGAAAGGCAAATAATAATCTCTTGCTTTCCATGGGGGTTCTGTTCCTGTTCCTGGAAAAGCCAGTGTCAGTTAAACCAAGCATACAAGCCTTTGTGTGGAAGATGGAGCCTGAGTCTAGATTTAGATAATCCTGAGTGGTTTTTGACTCACATGGATATCTGGTTAAAGTTCAGATGCTATAATGGTGTGAGACAACCCATTCCTTGTTTTACACACACTGAGGGTTAGCTCTGTCCTACTGAAAACTGCTGAACTATATAAAAGACAAGTAAATAAACAAGAAAATAATGAGGAGTGATAAATACAATGATCAAAATAAAATTGGGTAAAGAAGCACTTCCCTGGTGATCCAGTGCCTAAGACTCCATGCTCCTAATGCAGGGGACCTGGGTTTGATCTGTGGTCAGGGAAGTAGATCCACATGCTGCAACTAAGACTCAGGACAGACAAATGAATAAATATTAAAAAAAGAAAGAAAGAAAGCTGGGTAAGAGGCTGGAGAGTATTTGAGGAGCGCCTTTGGATTAGGGGGTCAAGGTCTGTGGTCTGGGTTAAGTGGTGCCTCTAAACCCACTGCTCCTGGAGAGGAGGAGGCGGAAGATGCATGGCATCTTTTGGAGGATTCATTACTCTGTGCAGGGAGGACGGGCAGGGAGGAGGGTCAGGAGGTTGGCCAGGCTGGAGATCCAGAAGACCCAGGCTGGGCACTGCTTTACCAGTTATTGGGTGACCTTGGGCAAGCCATTTTTTTTTCTTTGTGAGCTTCAGTTTTCTCACCTGTCAAGTGGAGAGAATTATAATCACATTGTTTTCTTTTCGAGTTAATAAGAAGATTCAAAGTGATGGGAGTAAGTGCTTTATGAATTGTAAAATTCTAAGAGGACTTCTTAGTGATGGGAAAAATTACAAACAACTCAAAAGCCTCCCAAAATTTTTGGTTTTTTTTTTTTTAGAGCGTGTTAGTAGGTTATGTATCATTAAAATGATGTGCATGCCTGTTAAGTCACATCTGACTCTGTGCGACCCTATGGACTGTAGTCCGCCAGGCTCTTCTGTCCATGGGATTCTCCAGACAAGAATACTGAAGTGGGATATCATGCCCTTCTTCAGGGGATCTTCCCAAACCAGAGATCCAACCTGTGTCTCTAGCGTCCCCTGCATTGGCAGGCAGGTTCTTTACCACTAGCGCCACCTATAGGAAACTGTTCACAGGGTGTTGAGTGAGAAAAGTAAGTTACAGAATAATATGGAGGGTATGACGCAATTAAGAGAGGAAAAGCAAGCAAGCAACCAAAAAACCACCAACAAACAAAGAAGAATTGGAAGGATACCAAAATAATAACTAATGTTATCTCCGGGAATTAGAGGGGATTGTAATTTTCTTTTCGTTCCTCTGTATAATTGTATAATGAGCTGTATCATTTTTGTAATAAGAGAATCAAGTTGCAAACATGATTTTTAACATAGTTGTCACACACCAAGTCCCCTGCTAGAATTGCTGTGTGTCTGGGCAGGTGGCCAGTTTGCTATCTTCTTTTTTTGCTTTTCATACATGCAAAGGTAAGGAGTGTGGCCACTTGTTGCCCAGGGAAAATTTGTGTTGTCCCAAAGAGCATCTGGTTCATTTTATACTATGTTCTCTGCCCTCAGAGCTTGAGTCTTGAAGCTTGAGGTTCTTACAGATGTACAAGGTTCTGGGCTAGGTACCATTATTTTAATCCTCATGACAGCCCTTTGAGGCAGACATTATTATCCTCATTTTATAGTTAAGAAAAGCAAAGCCTTGAAGGATTAAGTGTTTCTTTTTTTTTTTAACACTTTTTTTTCCCATTTATTTTTATTAGTTGGAGGCTAATTACTTTACATAATTGCAGTGGTTTTTATGTTATCTAGGGTGAAACAGATCACCAGCCCAGGTTGGGTGCATGAGACAAGTGCTTGGGCCTGGTGCACTGGGAAGACCCAGAGGGATCGGGTGGAGAGGGAGGTGGGAGGGGGGACCGGGATGGGGAATACATGTAAATCCATGGCTAATTCATTTCAATGGATTAAGTGTTTCATTACTGGTCATATGTCTCTTGAGTGGAAGAACAGGATTTAAATCTGGGGGGTGTCTAACTCTGAGCCACTGGGCTGTTTGTAACCGCTTGGGAGATTAATCATTGGCCAAGTTTTCATGTCTCTATACATGTAGTTTAAAAAGGCTAGAGCTTCAGTATCCTCATGGCTAAACAGCCACCTCTCAGCCTGGCTGGAAGAGGTAACAGGGTCGCAGAGGAGAAGGCTCCAAGGCGCAGTTTATACCAAGGAATCATGTGATAAACATAGCTTCCTTTCTTGGGCTTGGCTCTGGATTAAAATGAGGCTGTTGTCAGCCTCTCTGCCTAAATGGAACCCATTGTACTGGTGGGTCAGTCTTGGGCGAGATTCCAATTAAGGACTCTAGGGACTGGGGGGGGGGTGGGCAGCCCCTCTGAAGCCCAAACCTGGGAGAGAGGGTACTGAATTTAGCCGAAGACTCCAACACCCAGTTATTCATCCACCACTCAGTCACTCACCCATTACCTCTCAGAAAAGAGAGGTTTACCTTCTATTCAAGTCCTTACTAAGTCTCTTTTGTTACAGGGCTCACTCTCAAACACTTAATTTTAACCCACAAAGCTCTATTTGTGGATGACATTTTAGCTCCTGATAACTTCAACCAATGCTGTGCTTCAAATGCTTAGGAAGGTCACTCAGGCAGAAATGGAGACAAAAACACTAAGTGTAGATTTAGTCATTTTTCCTTATAATTGCAAGTGTTGACTATTGTAAACAAGCCTTTTAAGGATTGCTTTAAAAGACAATATTCTCTAAGTGGTTACTTTGCAGAGCTCATGAATAGAGAATGGGTACTTGGGGTTGGGAGTATAATTTCCAGTGACAGCATCATCCTAATATGCAAACTGGCCTGTATCCTAAATGACTTGAATGGAAGTGAAGATGATGTTCTCTGGAAAGCTGTGTCAGATGACTTGGGAAGTGGTTCCAGTGGTGACAAAAATACCAATGTCAAAGATGTATGTGAAGAGAACGAATATAATTGTTTCATGAATTAAATGTAAATATGGAAAAACAATATTTGTAGATATATTTGTAACTTGTAAGACTTTATATTAATGTGCTAATTTTCAATTAATATATTAATTTATAATCAACATATTGGTATAGTAATATGTCTTGTATAAGTTGCTTTACATGTATGTGAAATTAAGTTTTAAAATGTATTAAATAAGTGGCACTCTAGCTCATCTATATTCCTAAAAGTTTATACATACAAATAGGTCAAAAGCTTTGTTTTGGCAGAAAGAGACTCACAGACTTACAGACTTTGGGAATGAACTTATGGTTGTGGTGGGGGTGTTGGTGTGGGTTGGGGTAGGGGATGGATGCGGGGAAGGGATAGTTAGGGAGTTTGGGATGGACATGTACACACTGTTATATTTAAAATGGATAACAAGGAGCTACTGTATAGCACATGGAACTCTGCTCAATGTTATGTGTCAGCCTTGAGCGGACGGGGAGTTGGTGGGTGAATGGATTCATATATATGTATAAATATGGCTACAGTCCCTCTGCTGTTCACCTGAGACTATGACAACATTGGCTATACCCCAGTACAAAATAAAAAAGTTTTTTTTTTAAGTTTTTAATAAAAG